GTGTATCAATCAGAGGTTGTTTTTTTTTCTCCTAAATAGTTTGCTTAATAGTTGACTGAAATCCTTTCTGGAAGAATACATAAAATTAACTTTGTTTTTACTTTCTAAGTGCCTGTTAGTTGTAAATACTTTTGAGAAGAAGTTGAAATATTTAGGAAAGCTAATTAAAACCATCTTCTGAAATCAAGCAGCATGCCAAACTAAGAAAGGACATCAAAATGAACTGCAGAAAAAATACTCTACTCTACACGTCTATGTGTTCTACTATATAGTATTGGTATGAGAGTCAAGTTTCAGAGTTGAAATGCAACACATTTGATTTACCAGGCCGGAAATATCCTGTAAATATTGAAAATTTCTTAAGCCAGGTCTAATAACAGGCTTTTCTGTGCTATTTTCTATTACAAGCATCTGAGCATACATATATTAAGCATATATGTTACCTTGCATATTTACTGCTGCTGAAGAATCTGATGATGTAGCTTGGTATGGCAAGTCCGTATTCAACTGCAAAAGATAGCCCTCAACTGTAGGCACTTCATCCCATTTGACATGAAAGGAGTTGGTAGTGGCTTTGATCAGTTGTACTTGTGATGGTGCCGAAGGTTTCTCTAAAGAACAATATTAATATCATACATTTAAGTTTCAAGTGTTATCAACAGTTTGCCTATATAGTTTGTGTGCATAGAGCTCTGAAAACATCAACAGTGAATATTTCACCTATTTACCAAGAGGGAGAAAATTTACTCAGATTAAACACAGCTGTAGTAGGTCAAATGAAAATAGTTCAGGGTTCTGATTCTATTTATTTGCTTAATTTCTTATACAAATAAATCTACAAACAAAACAACCCAGTCCCAAGCTATTTGAATCAACAGATTAAGAAAAAATGTTTAATTTTCCTAGAAGTGGATGGAAAACCAAGTATTGTATAGCTATAGTTACATTGTTTTACCCTCTTTTAAGATTTAGTACATTCCATCTTTGGACAGTTACATAAGAAAATTTATTCTAGAGAGTTGAAATATATGTTATAACTTAATTCTTATATAAAAAGTCTAATATCTATCTCTTCCTGTCTTTTAGAGNGAAAACCAAGTATTGTATAGCTATAGTTACATTGTTTTACCCTCTTTTAAGATTTAGTACATTCCATCTTTGGACAGTTACATAAGAAAATTTATTCTAGAGAGTTGAAATATATGTTATAACTTAATTCTTATATAAAAAGTCTAATATCTATCTCTTCCTGTCTTTTAGAGTAGGGTTCAGCAAAGTATGGCTCATGGGCCAGATTTAGTCAGTTGCCTGTTTTCATAAATAAAGTTTTATTGAAACATAGCTATGCTAATTTATGTATTGTCTATGAACGCTTTCATACTATAATAGTAGAGTTCAGTAGTTAAAAATAGACGAAATGGCCGACAACACCTAAAATATTTACTATCTAGGCCTTTACAGAAAAAATCTGATGATCCTATTTCAGAGGATAATCAAGCCTAATTCCTTCAATTATTCCAAGTAAATTCCTCTGTGATCCTACACACAATCTAGTTTATTTATGTTTCTCAAAGGCAACCCACACCTGAACAAAAGCAGACAGTGAGATAAGTCTAGGAGGTACAGCACCCACATAACAGAAGTTACATTAAGAGAGAACAGAGAAAACAAAAGGGTGGAAATCAACAAAACAATCAAGAAAATTGCCAGAACTGAAAAACGTAAGTTTCCAGACCAAAAGGGCACACTGAGGATTCAACACAATGGATTAAAAACAGACGCACAAGGCACATCATCATGAAATTTAAGAGCAGCATAAACAAAGAAAAAGTCCTAAAAGTTAACAGGTGTGAGGGTGAAGGTCACATTTAAAAGGACCAAAAACTGGAAGTGGTTTGGGTTTCTTAACAAAAACACCAGAAGCTTGAATACAGTGTAACAATGCTTTCAAAATTCTGAAGGGTAATGACTTCTAATGTAGAATTCTATTTCTATGCAAACTGCCAAGTAGGAAGGAAGACTGAACATATTTTCAAACAAGGCAAGATCTCAAAATAAATTTATCACCTATGCACCCTTTTCCTGGGATGTGCTCCACAAAAAATAAGAAAGTAAACTAAGATAGGGAAAAATATAGGATCCAGGAAACAGGGAATCTGACATGGTAAGAGGCAAAAGATATCCCCAGCAGATGAAGGAGGGAGTACTCCAAGATGATGGCTGTGTTTGACTGTGGAGGGCAAGCATCCCAGAGTGGAACAGGAGAAATTTCTTCAAGACGATGAAATATGATAGAATATCCAATGCATCTAACCATAATGAGAAAAGATTTAAACAAATAACAGAGAGTACAGAAATGAGTTAGTGCTAAATACATATAAATCTAAAACAAAAATGACAATTATTAATCCATGACAAATAAAAAATTGCACAAGGAAGGTATGCACAATATTCTACATGGCTCACCTGTGAACAATGTCTATAGAGTCACAATGTAAACACTGAATACTCATCTAACAAAATTATGGTGTAATCATACTGAGAATGGGGTAGGGAAGGTGCACAGGGGAGAGGTGAAGAATGGTGAGAAGAAGAAATAAATCCATAGTAGAAAATGAGCATATCTGCCAAAACTGAAAAAAATTAAAGTAACAATATATTCATGTTATATATATGAAAAGAATTGTCTAACAGAGTTGAAAGCAGATACTTGTGAAGCAAGGAAAATGGGAGGCAGGTGGGTGCAAGACTGCTATTTTTCATAAAAAGCCTTATGGAATTGTATTACTTTTAAATGTTATCAAATGCACAAAGTTTAACTGAAAGTGAAAAAAGGCAAGATAGAAAGCCCTCATTCCTCTCTACCTATCCCCCAAAATGGATGTCAACTTTTCAAAAGGCAAAGCAAAATCTAAATTTTGCCATTATGATAGTGTCCAATGACTACTTTTAGACAGATATTCATGTCTAAAGCTTTTAATGGAAAACTTTATGGAAAAACTGGCCATTCAGAGTCAATGATTTTTAACCCCTTAAAAGCCAGAGACCCCTTAAAGAATCTGCTTAATGTGATATATTCAATACTGAGAAAAATTTATTATACACATTTTTAGATTTTAGAAAAAAGCACACATTTTTCTTCCAGTCTCAGAAACTGAAGCTTATCCTTGGATTTCAGTTAATTCCCAATCTCAAAGATAAATCAGTATGTTTGAATTTCTTTACTTTCTGCTTGCTAGTACACTCTTCTTCTATAGAAAGCATTTAGTCTCTAACTTAGTTGTTCTGTTAATTTTTCAATTATCTTAATTTTAAAATTAAGCTGTTTTTATATTATAAAGCAATGCATGCTTCTACAGAAAATACAAGAGGAAAATTATAAGAAAATGTAAAATCTCAACCTATGAGATAATATTTTGGTACACAGATTTTTGTTAATATATCTAACAAAAACCCTAGAATCTTCGCTATGTTTTACAACATGATTTGTCCACTGACCTCCAGATGTCCTTTCACACACCTTTCTACTTGATCTAATTTCAAACAGCAGGTCTAAATAAACTCTCAACTTTCTCCACAAACCTGTTTTTCCCTCAACCTTCCCATCTCAGTGAACAGAAATACTACCAAATTATTCCAGCTAGAAAGTTCATCCTCCATCCTCTCATTTGAGTCTGCCACAGCCAATTCATCAGCCAGTGCTGTCAACAAGAACTCCAAAATATATCCTGAATGTATCCATGTTTTCAATCTCCATCATCAATACTACAGTCTAAGACTTCACTGCCTATTGGGAAGCTGCCTAACTTGCCTTGCTGTGTGTGCTAGTATTTTCCATACTATTGCAATGACATTCCAAAATGCACATTCTGAAAGACTAAGAAATACCTTACCATTATACTTTAAAAACAATTTGAACTCGATCATAATGTTTGAGGCCCTACATGACCTGTCCTGTGGTCACTTCTCCAACCTACCTCCACTCCTACACTCCTCTTTTACTGCTCATATCTGTTCCCCAACATACCAAGAATTCACCTCTTTAAGGCCCTTGTATTGCTGTTCACTCTTCCTGCAGTGTTTTCTCCCCAGCTTTTTACATGGACAGTTATCTTCTCACCATCTGGATTACATCCCAAATGCCATCTCATCCTATTCTGACTACCCATTCTGAAGCAGCACCGCCCACCTCCATTCCCAGCACCTCCTATTACTATGTCGTTGTTCTATCTTACTATCTTCACAAGATGCTTACCAGAAACAGAACTTACTTTGTTAATTTATTTGATTATTGCCTGCCATCCCCCTGACCCTCACACTCTCTTTTGACTGTAAGTTCTTTGCAACAGGGATATTATCAGTCTTATTCACAGCTGTCTTCTCAGCATTAGGAACAATTCCTGGTACATAGCTGTCAATCAATAAATATTTTTTGAAAAAAGGACATGCATTCGATGTTTTAAAATTTTTTGGTGTTGTAATACTTTTTTTTAATCTTTTTATTTTGGAATAATTTTAGATTTACAGAGAAGCTTTAAAGAGTTCCCATATACCCTTTACTCACTGTCCCATAAGGCTAACACCTTTGTTAAAATTAAGAAATTAACAATGGAGTAATACTATTAGCTAAACTGCAGACTACTCAGATCTTACCCATTTTTCTATCAATGTCTTTTGTTCCAGGATCCAATTTATGGCACCATCTTGCATTTAGTTATCTTATCTCCTTAGTCTCCTCCAATTTGTGACTATTTCTCAGTATCTCCTTGTTTTTCATCATTTTGAAACTTTTGAAGAGTACTGTTCACATATTCTGTTGAATATCTGAAGTCACTTAATTTGGGTTTGTCTGATATGTCTTCATAGTTAGAGTGGGGTTATGAATTTTTCGGAAGAGTACCACAGAGGTGAAGTTTCTTCTTATCACATGATATGGGAGGCAGGGGTAAATGTTATCAACATGATTTATCACCAGTGATATTAGTCTTGATTATTTGATTAAGGTGGTGTTTGTCAGGTTTCTAGACCATAAAGCTACTATTTTTCACTTTCCATACTCTTCTGCGGGAGTCACTAAATCCAGTTTACACTCAAGGTTAGAGAAATTGAGGAACTCCCCTGGAGTAGGAAAAATCTAAATATATTATTTCCTCTATTCATTTTTAATTATGGGAAAGAAAGGCCGTGGCATTTGCAATATGTCTCAAAAGACAGACTTTATTTGAGTATTTATTTATTTAAAAGAAAAATTATATTGTTAAATACTCTTACCTACCAGTATCAAGATACCAAAGATCCTTGCAGCAGACTTGACTATTCAGTGCTTTTTTGTAGCCATCTCTTCCACTCCAAAAATACAATCGAGTGCCAATTGCAACAGCACAATGTCCAGCTCTTGGTCTTGGTCTTGAATTTTTCTTATCTTCCTGAGAATCTGATACTAGGGTAGTCCATTCTGCTGTGTCTAGAAAAATAGAAATATCTATGACTAATCTGTTGTTCTTAAACAACAAAATAATAAAAATTCTTGATTAATAAGTTTTGTTTCAATAAATAACTCTTAAAAGTCTCACCCAAATTTAGGTAAGAAAATGAACTGGTACATCTCCATTCACAATCATGAGGTGAAGTTTCAGTATTTTCCCCCTTATGAGGAACCCATCCACCAAAAATGTACATCCTAAACAACAAAAGACAAAGGAACATGATGTAGCTGATTTTCTTTTCTAAAGACTTAATTTTATTTTTTGGATTTAAAATGCTAAGAATAGACTTACATTTCTTATTGTTGACTCAAAGCTTCAAGACTATTTACTCACCATTGTAAAGGTAATGGGAATAAGGATGAAGAAAGTGGTCTTTCAAAAGTTTACAATTTTTTGAAGCAATACAGAATCAAATTATTTCTCTCTCTGGCAAGTTATGTAAAGTGAGGAATATCTCAATTACATACATTTGAAAATCAATACTGTATGTGTTATGCAAAGGGTACTTCAGTCAGAAAGATAACTCAAATGATCTATGATATCCAAAGTCAAATTTAGAATTGTTTGCATATAATAACCAAAGAGAACTAAGTTTCATATAACTTTGGTCACTGATATAACTCAAATAAAGAACTTTTTTTTAAAGGTTTTACTTCTTTTTTTTTTTATTAAAGTCTCAGTGATATACACTCTTATGATGGTTTCAAATACACAACACAGTGGTTCAACATTCACCCATATTAATTCCTGATCCCCTCCATTGCGGTCATTGTCTATCAATGAAGTAAGATGTTACAGAGTCATTAATTGTCTTCTCTGTGCTGTACTACCATTCCCAAGACCTACCTATATTGTGATGGTGAATTATAGTGCCCCTTAATCCTCCTTTCTCCTCCCTTCCCAACCCTCCCCAACCCTTCCCTTTGGTAATCACATCCCTTCTCAATGTCTATGAATCTACTGCTATCAAATAAAAAACTTCATGTGGACACCAGGGGTTCATGAGACACAGCTGATGGCTGCTGAAGAAAAAAGAATCATCAGACTGAACTTAGGGCCCATGTGACCTCATACCAATCAAAGAAGTCTTACTTTTTATCTAGTTTATATATTAAGAGTTCCAATGGAAAACTGTATTTTATTAAAGGGTTTTGCTGCTTTTTAAAAAATATATCTTGTTAGATTTTCTGACTATTTTTAAAAAAGAACTAAAGAGATTCTAAGGGTTCTGATGTTTTTTAAAAAATATATCTTATTAGATTTTATGACTATTTTAAAAAAATAACTAAAGAGGTTCTAAATTACAAGTTTTTGTTTTCTTAAACATTACTTTTAAGGTAAAGTCCCTACACAAGTAAATAATTAACTTCTATTTAAACAATACTACTAACCCTGGCCCAGTGTTGCACAAATAAGGGAATGTGTTGATGATAGTAATAGCTAACCTTTATGGAGTGCCCACTACATACTGGGCACTGTTCAAAGAATTTTACAGGTATCAATCCACTTAATCCTACGACAATGTTGTGAGGTAGGTTTTACTATTATCCACATTTTACACATGAGGAAATTGGGGTACAGACAGATTCCATTACCTTACCTGAGGTCATATAAGACAAGTAGCAAATCTGAGACTTGAATTTCGCCAACCTGGTTACAGAGTCTGTATTCTAACCATAATGCCACCCAAAGTATAATCATTGGGCATATATACTGAGTACATACCTGAGAACAAATCAAGCACTACCAGAAATATATAAAAAGAAACAGGTGTTTCAAACCTGTTACTGGAGAACAGATCAGTTTGACATTCCGTTTACCCTTAGGAAACGCCTACTCTGTGCAAGGTATTGTAAGGAACGTAAAGAAGTATAAGAGGTACTATGATAAGAAAATGCACAACAAATATCTTGGCTTTCATAGGCATATTTTAGTTTCAGTAAGTACAGTCAAACATCATTAATTCAGTGATCTATTTCCAAGAAACTAGTAACATCACTTTTCTTAAGGTATATCTTAAGTTGGTTAAAAAAAAGTAAAACTAAAACACCGTACTTGTTTCCTATGACACTGGCTGTGTGAAGGCTTCGTGGAAGTGGCACTGTCCCTTTAGTTTCTGGTTTTGACCACGACATAGTTTCTAAAAGTAAAAATAAGTATATTAACAACTTGATCTAATAACACCAAATCACCTCAGCTTGCAAAATTAAAAAAAAAGGACTTATCAAAATGAAGTCCTATTGTTGTATTATTTTACATATTATATAACAATACTGTATCATTGTATTTATTTTATTGTATTTATTTACATCTATAAATTTGCCATAAATCGCCAATCATAGAAATTTATTTACAGTTCAATGTTAGTATTTGTAATGGAGAGGTGTACTTAAGGTGCCACCAATTTTGAATTAAGATTAGAGATTTTAACATTTTAAACAAGAGTACATTGTGTAGAAGATAGTCAAAAGTGAGAGGCACACCTACTCTCTAATCATCCATTCTAGGATCTCTTAAGAGCTACAACAGGGTTTTTCATTAACCAGCAATCACATTATTAATGCTACATTACCTGTAGACAGAGTAACCATAGAAATTTGATCATCTCCAACTGGAACACATTACAAAGTGAAAGGGGGACTGTTGATAATTACACAGGACAACAAGCATAAACCAGGACCATCCCAGGCAACCCAGGACATATGGTGACCCTATTTATAGGGAGCACAGGACAATCACTGTCATAATCTAACATTTACTTGTTCAACCTGACTGGTCAGCAACCATTCACATCACAACTTGGCTGTCCCAGTGGCTGGCTACAAGTCGTAGTTATAAATCTAAGTGCAACTCAATAAATACTGTAATCAAAAATATTTTTCAAAGTAATTTTTATATTTGCTTCATCAGTTATAGCCAGTTCCTGAGACTAAATCAAGTTAAGCTTACCTAAGTCAAGTTGCCATAGGTCATCTAGGCGAGCACCACACATTCCACCAAAAACATACATTTTAGGACTTCCAGAATCTTTTTTGCAATATATGACAGCTGTGTGGGATTCTCTTGGAGAAGGCACAATTCCTTTAGTTACTGGAATGCTCCAACCCACCACACCAGAACCATGCTGTAGCTCCAACTCATAGAAATCATTTAAATATCTAGGATATCATGAAAAAAATTAAAACATTAATATAGTACATATCTTTTAATTGATTTTTATTTCTGTTTATAAAGATAAAGTTTGTTAACTGTAAAAAATTCATAGAGTACAGAAATGCATTAGGGGAGCAGAAACCCCATAGTTCACTCATTCAAGACCTGTTTATCAAACACTACTGCACACCAGGCACTCTTCTGATCAGTAGTGAACAGACAAGATTTTAAAACTTCCTACCATTATTTAGCCAACACTCTTATCTAGGATAACAATTGTGATGCCTTCAAAACATAGCCACAAATTCTCTGACACTGTTCTCACCAGGAGATAGGGTCTAAGTCCTCTTCCTTGATTCTGGGAAGGTTTGTGACTGTTTTGACTAACAGAATATGATGAAATGATATTATGTGACTTCTAAGGCTCAAACACAGAATGCCAATGAAGCTTCACTATATAAAACACTTGCTCTTGGAATCCTGAACCACCGTGGAAGTCCAACTATCACACAATCACCATGTGGAGAGGTACCTATATGTAGGCACATAGGATGACAGTCCCAGTTGAATCCATCCTTCAGCCATTTTAGTTGAGGCATCAGACACAGGAGTGACTATTCAAGCCTTCCCATCTGAAGGCCTAGCCATTATTGCAATGTCCTGTCTGAATTCCTCATATACAGAATCCACAGTATAATAAAATGTGATTATTTTGCATTATTAACTTTTGGGGGAATTTACTATATGTCACTAAATAACTAGAACAGTCACTACTGACAATAACTGGTAAATATCCTTTCAGAACTCTTTCTCTATGGATACCCACATATGTATAAATGAGGCACATTCTAAATATTGCTTTGTAACATTTTTCTTTTTAAATTTTCATCCTATAATGTCATAGCAATGTCCTACATAGTTTTACTCTAGAAATGGGCATTAAACTTCTCATCTGTGACATGGGTGTTTTCAATGCTTTGAGCAAAATGACTTTCGTAGGAATCTATTTCCTATCAAATTATTACTCAAGTATGGGGGCAAAATTGAAACATTGTAGGACATGTAAAATGTCAAAGTTTAACTATACAGTTTTTTTGGAAAAAATGACTCTAGATGTCACCTAGGAAAAATAAAAATAAGTCCCCAAATGAACACATTAAATAAGAGAAATGGTAGTACAAGGAAACCAGTAATTTATAATTATATTTAAATTGATGCTGATAACTGTGGTTGTGAGGTCTAAATAATCACTAAGAAAGACTAATCCAAAATTAATCTCTTAATATTACTGTAATCTAGAAGAAGATTCAAGAATAGGTGGAACACAGAGAAAAACTGGGTAAGCAAAAGGCGGCTAAATGTAAAAATATCTATTCTGAAAGGTAACAAGACATTTTCAGTTTAAATGTGTATGTTAATTTTTGTGCAATGAAAGGAAGCAAAGAATTAGCACATTTAAGTTTCAAATCACTAGAAAGAATGAATCAAAGAAAAACAATACATTAGAGAAAGTAAAGAAAAGGAAAAATAAGCAAAGCATAGTCTATGGAAAGCAGTTAATAAGATAGTCAGGAAAAAAACACTATAAACAATGCTGAAAGAAAACAAATGAAAAAAATTAGTACATAACACAGAAAGATCAAATTTTTTTAATGTGAAGAGCTCCTACAAAATCAAGATAATGAATGACCAGTCACATAATAAACAAAAGATAAAAGCATATAAATTGACAGTTGTCTTACCAATGGGTTTCAGCCATAGACAAATTCATCATGGATTCAATGAGACCAAAGAAATGACAGTAGAACATTCATGGGGTGAAGGGTAATACCCAACTTTATTTCCATGGTGGCAGGTCAATCACCAGAATCCCATCCATTCAGAGCAAGTCTGCATGCAGCAAGCCAGTCTTTGCATCTGGGCCGCTCTGCCCGTGCAGCCGTCTCAGTCTCTGTTCTCAGCACTGCCACCACTCTAGCCTCTGCTCTGCTCTCCTGTAGCCTTGCAGCCATGCCACCATGTTGCCCAGAGCACTGGGCAGAGCTCTTTATATAAAGTCAATAACAACGTATTGCCCACATGTGTGTAGTGAGCTAGTCAACCAGGGCCAGGTGAGAATCCTGACCATAGGAACCTTCATTTTATCCACACAGCTCACAGTACAGAAAATAAAATTATATAAACATTTATGTATGTACACATACACAAACACACACAAATGTTCAACCTCATCACAATTTTAAAAAATCTAGCAATGGCAGGAAAAGGGGGAATAGGGAAGCAACAATAATCAGAATAGATGGAAGGCATAAAATAATATAAGGGCAGGAAAAAACTTTCCTATTTATTATAAGACAAAGCCTCTTGGGCCATGGGGTATGCAAGGGAAACAAAAGAACCCTGAATCCAGCTGTAGGCTATTAACAGCAAGGATGATATTAAAACTATTTAACAACTGATAATGGCATAAACTTAAATAGACCAAAATGGATGCCAATCAGTATGCTATACCAGTTTATACTGGTTAACTGACAGTTCTTTTTGTGAAAGGTAACTTTACAACAGAATAATACACACAGGTAGAAAATTAGATATACCGGGAACAAAACACAAGTTCACAAAAACACTGGGGGATTTTAAATGTCATTCAGAAGTTGAAACAACCTACACACAGAAAAGAAAAAAGCTTGGAATGGCAACTTAAACCAGTGATTTAATAAAGAACCTTGTAGCCAGTCAAGAACTCACAATCTTTAAGAGCAACTATGGCATAATCACAAAAATTAACTGTGAAATAGGCCGTAAAGACAATGTTGGAAAAGAAGAAACACCATGTGGATAAAGTGAAGGTTCCTATAGCCAGGATTCTCATCTGGCCCTGGTCGGCTAGCTTACTACATGTGTGGGCAACACGTCATTATTGACTGGGTGCTGACATGGTGGCATGGCTGCAAGGCAGCAGGAGAGCAGAGACAAGACTGAAGTGGTGGCAGCATCAAGGACAGAGACTGAGACAGCTGCAGGGGCAGAGACTGGCTTGCTGCATGCAGACTCGCTCTGAGTGGACGGGATTCTAGTGATTGATCTGCCACCGTGGGAATGAATTTGGGTATAACCCTTTCACCCCAAGTACGTTCCGTTGTCATTCCTCAGCCTCACTGAATCCATAGCAAACATGCCAGGGCTGAAACCCATTGGCAAGACACCCCATAAAGCATATTTTTTTACCTCAGTATAATAAAACTAGATAGATATTAGCAGCAATAACAAAACTTCCCATTTGGAAACCTAAATTATGCTGAACTACTTTTGGATTAAAGAGAAAATAGAAATTAATGACAATAAGAGCACTACATATCAAAACCTATGGAATATGGCCAAAGTGATAACTAGAGAAAAATGTGTACCATTTATTACAAACAACACTGAAAATAAATTAACTGATAAGCATTCAAATTATTAGAATTTAGAAAAAAGTTAGAAAGAGCATTCAAACTATTAGAAGTTTAAAAGAAGTTAGAAAAAGGGAAAAATTTAAAGAAATGGAATAGGGTTAAAGAAAATAAATGAAAAAAAAAAGATTATTAGTAAACTAAAATGTGGTTCTTTGAAAAACACCAATAAAATAGCAAGCCACTAGCAGGTCTGAAAGGTATCAAAGATCACCCCCTGAACTAAACCAATCCCAGACAATTATTTTCTACTAAATTTCAATACATTTCTACTATATACTCAAGAAATTATGTTATTTAAACATAGTAATAGATAGAGCTTCCCATAACCTAGGAACACAGCCCTAATTACGTTTCCAGGGGTAACATAATCCTGATACTCAAATTGGATTAGAATAGCAATCAATGCCCCCCGAAAAGACAATACAGGCAAAATCACTAATGACCATAGATAATATAAATAAATGTTAGCGAAGTGAATTTAGGAACATATGAAAAGAACACTGTAATACAATAAAGTGGAATTTAGTTAGGAATTAAAAGATGGCTCATATTTCAGAATTTAATAATATAATTCACAAAATTACTGGATTAAAGGAAAGAAACAGTACACTCATTTCCATACTTGAGATAAATTATAACTACATCAACATCCATTTTTGGTTAAAAAAGAGAAAATTACTAATTAGCAAACTGGAAATTTTAAAAACTTCTTTAATCTGATGAAAGGCATATACTAGAAATCTATAGTAAACACTAACACCACAATTAATGATAATAAGGCAATGAAACAGAATAGAGTCTAGTACTAGAGTTGACAAAGCTTTTTCTGTAAAGGGTCAGATAGTAAATATTTTAGGCTTTGCAGGCGAAAAAGTCTACCACAACTGCCAACTTTGCCCTTTTAATACAAAAGCAGTCCAAAACTCTACATAAATGAATAGGCATTGCTGTATGCCAATAAAATTTTATTAACAAAAACAGGCAGAAGTCTAAATTTGGGCCACAGACTATAGTTCATAACCCCTGGTCTATAGGACCTAGAAAGACCCATTTATATAAAGATAAAGATATCTTAAATTGTGTTTGAAACAGAGAAATCATCAACTTAATATAGATGGTTACATAGTTAGGAAGCTATCTGTAAACCTTATGGTAACCACAAACCTAAAGCCTATAATAGATACACAAAAAATTAAAAAAGAGAAATCTAATCACAATATTAAAGAATACCATCAAATAACAAGACTGTAAGAGAGGAAGAAAGGAACAGAGAGAAACTACAAAAGCAATCAGAAAACAATTAATAAGATGGCAATAAGTACATACCTATTAATAATTACCTGAAATGTAAATGGACTGAATGCAATAATCAAAAGACAGAGGGTAACAGAATGGATCAACAAGACCCATCAATGTGCTGACTACAAGGGACTCATTTCAGACCCAAAGACATACACAGACTGAAATGAAGGGATGTAAAAAGGTATTCCATGCAAATAACAGGGAGAGAAAAGCAGGAGTAGCATACTTTTATCAGACAAAATAGACTT